TGTACAAACTCAGATATTACCTTATAAAGGTTGCAGTGACATAATCACTGGGTTCTACAAATCTTGTGCAGGCAGCATAGCCATGGGAGGGACCTGCCAGGACCCAACCACTACAGGCTGCCGGTAGAAACTACAGGAGGGGGTGGAGACAAGACCAGTCACACTGCACAAGGAGAGGGATCAGCAGTATCTGGTCTTCATTACAGGAAGCAAAGTTTCACACTGGATTACTGTATAAATCTGGAAGAAGTACATAAAGCACACTAGGATTCAAGTAAGAATATAAATGCCTCTTTGATTTAGACAATATTTATTGATTCTGGAGTTCAGCTTTAATATATGTAATATCCTATGTCCCATAGCAAAATATCTAAAAAAAACAAAAATCTGTGAAAGCCAGTCAGCTTGATTCAAATAATGTGGGGTGCATTTTTGCTATTCCGATATATGGATGAAAAACAATGCATTATTAACAACCCAATTTGTATTATTAATAAATGTCCTTTCCAGTTTTAAGTGTATGCATAGCCCAAATTTTTTCCTTCTTTAATTTTGGAAAGAATAGAGATGGGTTTAAAGTGGCAGGACCTTTTACCCTAGTGCAGTGGTCTTCAAACTGCGGTCCTTTACTTGCCTGTATGCAGCCCTAGTGCACTGTTCCACCCACTGAACATGAAACTATTCCTCCCAAAGACACCAATAGCTGGACGCTATTCCTTCCACTGACACCAATGATAGGGCACTATTCCTTCCACCAACACCAGCCATTGGGCACTATTCCTCCCACTGACATCAATGATGGTGCACTATTCCTACCCACTGACACAAATAGTGGGGCATTATTCCTCCAAATGACACAAACAGTTGGGCACTATTCCTTCCACTGACACCAACAATAGTGAACTATTCCTTCCACTAACACCAGCCATGGGGCACTATTCTTTCCACTGACAACAATGATGGGGCACTATTCCTCCCACTGACACCAATGGTGGAGCACTATTCCTCCCACTGACACCAATGCTGGGGCACTATTCCTCCCACTGACACCAATGGTGGGGCACTATTCCTCCCACTGACAGCAATGGTTGGGCACTATTCCTCCCATGGAAACCAATGATTAGGCACTGTTCCTCCCACTAATACGAATAATGGGGCACTGATCCTCGCACTAATACCAATAATGTGGCACAGTTTCTCCTCCGATAGATCACAGGCACTATGTAATTTTTCTTTACTCCGCCACCCACCAAGCCTGACCTATTGCCTATTCCCACTGATGCTGGGGCATTTTCTACTCTCGCTGGCCATAGTCTGGCCCTCCTAAAGTCTGAGGGACAGTAAAGTGGGCATTTGTCTAGAAACTTTGGAGAGCTCTGCCCTAATGCATTCCCTGTATTAAGGTAAAAATTGTCCCAGTTTTTTTATCGCCCCCTCACCTCAAAAAATACTCATTTGAGCCCAATCTTAATCCAGCACTGTGTCTGAATGGATCCCTGAAGGGCTCTGTGAGAGCAGCGAGAGCCATTGTCTGTCTCTTGTCAGTCTAATCGTGTGAATAGGGAACGGGGCAGAGCTGAGCAGGGCTGTGTATGTCTATAGATGCCCACAGCCCAGCTTGGGAGCAAGCCCACAGGTGTACCTCATAGGAAGTGACTTCCTATGGTGGTACAATGAGAAGTGGAGGAGCCTAGAGTGTCAACAGAGGACCCTAGAAAAGGAGGTTCTGGGGTCTCTGTACCATTGCACAGAGCAGATAAGTATAACAAATTTGTTATTATAGAAAAATAAAAACTTAAGCTTTACAACCACTTTAAATCTTTGACAGTTTTTATTTTCTTGTGTTCCATGTCCTATTGGGGAGATTTCCCTTCACTTTCTGTTCCAGAGATGCAACTGGAAGCGTGATGAAATCTCCACAATGTTATGGTAGTTCCCCTCTTAGTGACATGACACCACAACAGGTGTCCCCATTGGAAATGTCCCCTCATTTCTTGGTCTGGCAACAACTGTAAAATTTTAGATTGCCCATCACTTTCTGTCTCAGTGACAATGGTACCAGAACAAAGAGGGCTTGCTACTTTTATTTTGAACACCACTGTTGTTCATGACATTGACCTCTGCTTTCAGATCAGTCTGCTTCGGATCATTGTTGAGCCTATGTAACACACATATGAAATTTGGAGAAAATAAGGCTACGTTAGCATACTATCTTTGGTATTGTCCCTTAGTCAATAATTTTTGGAAGAAAGTATTAAGTTACGGGCAGCACAGTGGCTAAATGGTTAACACTTCCACCTGGCAGTACTAGGGTCGTTGGATTGAATCCCAGCCACGGCACCTCCTGCCTGGGGTTTGCATGTTCTCCCTGTGCCTGTGTGGGTTTCCTCCAGGTACTCTGATTTCCTCCCACCCTCAAAAGACATGCTGGTAGGTTAATTGGATCCTGTCTAAATTGTCCCTAGTATGTATATGTATGGATGTGAGTTAGGGACCTTAGATTGTACACCCCTTGAGGGTTAGGGACTGATGTGAATGTACAATATATATGTAAAGTGCTGCGTAAATTGACGGCGCTATATAAGTACCTGAACAAAACGAAACTAAGTTACGCATGTAAGATCTGTGACAATAGCATTCCGGAAGATCCAATGCTAGTTTTGTTTAGCTACTGGAAGGGAAGACAGCGCCAATGGGACAGTCAGAAAAATGAAATACAGAATGGGTCCATATCTGTCTAATAGTAGCAAGGGTGGCTCAAAACCCATTTTCCCCCAACTATGGAAAGGGTTCAAGGAGATAAAAATAACTTGCTTTACTTAGAAAACGTATCAATTAAATTAGATGATGGAGAGCAAAAGTCGAAGAAAATGTATCAATGATTGGCTCTACAGTGGCTATAAAAAGTCTACACACCCCTGTTAAAATGTCAGGTTTCTGTGATGTAAAAAAATTAGACAAAGATAAATCATTACATAACTTTTTCCACCTTTAATGTGACCTATAAACTGTACAATTCAGTTGAACAACAAACTGAAATCTTTTAGGTGGGAAGTAAACATAAAAACTAAAATAATGCGGTTGCATAAGTGTGCACACCCTCTTATAACTGGGGATGTAGCTGTGTTCAGAATTAGGCAACCACATTCAAAACCATGTTAAATAGGAGTCTGTACACACCTGCCATCATTTAAAGTGCCTCTGATTAACCCCAAATAAAGTTCATCTGTTCTAGTAGGTCTTTCCTGGCATTTTCTTCGTCGCATCTTACAGCAAAAGCCATGGTCCCCAGAGAGCTTCCAAAGCATCAGAGGGATCTCATTGTTAAAAGGTATCAGTCAGGAGAAGGGTACAAAAGAATTTCCAAAACATTAGCTACGGTATATATGGAGAAATCTTTAACAGCACAGGAAAAAGCCATGTTATCACCTAATTGGGTTTATGCAAATTGTAAAATTAGAAGTATGATGGATGATCGTATATATGTTTAATTCGATTTATGTTTTATCTGTTACAATTTTATACGGTATATATTACATCTAGGATGCTAGGCTTCGACCTATAGGGGAAAAATGTGTATATGCTAACAGAGACTGGTGGAGGTGAGAAATTACATAGGAAGTTAGAGGTTAGAGTTGGTCTGGTGATGGGTAACAGAGAGGAGGATTAAGGAAAAGTTGAGGATAATTGATATTATTAAATTTTGGACTCCCTTCTCTGATTTTTGGGGGGGGTTTAGTAATGTGTAAATAATTTTGATGTCAGCACGCTCAGAGAAGGCTCCATAGACAGGAATAGTCCACCGCTGGACCATGGGGGAGTGCAGTTTTCCAGAGGATCGGCAGATCAGGTGAGTATAAACTTTGTGCGCACCACTAGATAAATCAAGCAGTTGACCCATACAGTGCAGGCACAGCACAACTGCATGGTAAAAAAAAAAAAAGATTTTTGCTTGCAGTATGGCTTTAAAATAAAAGCTGCTGATTTATAAAAAAATATTTATTTTTGAAATCACATTAACATGGTAAAGCTTCTATAGATATTTGTGATTAGGATGACATATACTTTTTTTTAAGATTATTTACGTAGAGCTAAATCCTATTTCGATATATATATATCTTAAGAAAAAAACACACAGAAATATACTTTCCCTTTAAAGGGGCATTGTTTTCTAATGAGAATCTTACTTGTATTTAAGAAGGGTAATGTCATTAATGATTTCTGTATATAACATTGTACAGACATATTTAATTTAAATGTCTCTGCATGGCTGGGCTGCTGTTGATATCTCTGTAGATTTCCCCTTTCAGCATCAATGTCACTTTTCACAGTGCTGAAAAAACAAACAGATTTCCAAATTTTCACTAATTAGCTCACAGTGATGACTTCTGCTGTGTAGCTTTGGGCCGGATGCAAATAAGTGTCATTCAACTCACTAGACTTATTTCACAATAAGACAAAGTGTGATTGGTGGCACTGGACAGGGTTTTGTGGCTTCCCCACGGAATATGGGCTATTCCAGCATGGTCATGCTTTCCTAGATTGTAGGGGTGGCATTAAGGTTGGGCAACAGGGGCAAATGTCTAAAGCACAGGGAAGGCATGGGGCACAAAATTATAATGGAGAAAATGTGAAGAATATTTGGAGGGCTGGGCATGTGGGTGATAATAAGTCTAATCTGCCCATTTGTATTAAACAACTATTATTGCCCTGTGGGATATGTCCTTACCTCCCACGCTTCTGCCAACATATAGCATTAGGGTTGCCACCTCATCCCTTTAAAGTCTAAAACATAATAATTACACAGATTCTGTGGCTGATTAACTGCTTCTGGGCCATCCTGTAACATAAATACTGCTACAGGGTGGTGCGGGTGTGCAAAAATATATACGTGATTTTGCAGTTCCGAGTAGAGGGTGCACACACGCCCCTACCCGCCTCGGCTGTAAATCACAATGTCCCGGACGGTGATTCCCCGCTAGCTCCCAGCAATCTCCGAGAATTTGTGACCAGGGAGAGACCTGTATGTAACCAATACAGATCTCTCCCCTGTCAGCTCCTGCACACTGCTTTGTATGGCTCTGCATACCAGAGCCATACAAAGCAGTGTTTTTACAGTGAAAAACACACACAGCCCCCATAGTAAAACAGCACACAGTTAACCCTTTGATCGCCCCACATGTTAACCCCTTTCTGCCCAGTCAGTGCTTTTTTTAGCAAACAGTCTTCCTCTGTGTCAGCTCGAACAGCACAGCCATCCCAATCAGTGTGCTTACAAATAAGCATACACACCCTGCCCCCTAGTAAAACACTCCCATATGTTTAATAGCAAAAATTAAACAATATTGTTTTTTTTTTTCAAAAATGTTGATCGCCTGTGCATTTTTTTACGCTATAAAGAAAAATACATTTGAAAATAAATTTTTTTTTTACTTTTTGCTATTAAACATGGTCAGTAAAAAAATCTAAAAAATCTAATTTCGTCATAAATTTAGGACAAAATGTATTCTGGTACATGTCTTTGCTAAAAAAAAAATCCCAATATGTGTAAATTAATTGGTTTATGTGAATGTTATAACGTTTACAAATGGCGGTATATATACAGGAATGTTTTTTTTTTTCTTACTAGTAATGGCGGCGATCAGCGACTTATAGCGGGACTGCAGCAGACATTCTGACACTGAGGGGAACTGACTTGGTGTCACTGACATCCCCAGTGACACCAATACAGTGATCAGTTCTAAAAAAAAAGCACGGACACTGTACTAATAGCACTGGGCAGGAAGGGGTTAACATGAGGGGCGATCAAAGGGTTAACTGTGTGTAGGGAGTGTTTTACTAGGGGGCGGTGTCAGTGTGCTTCACTGTAATCACTCTGCCCTGGATGGCTGGGCTGTGCAGTGTGCCCGAGCTGACAGGGAGGAAGACTGTTAGTAAACAAAGGAGATCTGAAATCACCAGTGCCGGCGAGTAATTACTGACCGGGACCCAGTGATTGACAGTCGTGGCCGCGAATGGCGGCGCAGGTAGGGCGCGTGTGCGGCTCTCGCACTCCCCCTATCCGGAAATGCAAAATCACGTATATATACGTGAGTTTGCGCACCTGTGACGCTCTGTAGCAGTATTTCTGTTATAGGGCAGACGGGAAGCGGTTGAATCCCACCCTCCTTGTCACCACACATATGTAGTTTATGGGTGGCAAGAGGTGAATCTGTTTTTACAAAATTCCCACAGAACTCTCCTCTGGTGCAGTACATCCCCATCCTACTTCTTGTTGGGAAGCATGCATACAACTCTTCTCCTATGTCCGATGGCAGGTCTACATGTCCCATAATGCATTGCACCTGCTATGCTAATCCACACAGGCTGAATTGTTCATCAAAGGCAAATGGCCAGAGAGGTGGGAGTTTCACATATTCTATTTATCTCCTGGCTCTCAGTGCAGTCTGTGCATGTTGGTGCATCTGTGTAGTCCCCTGAGAAAAGAGCACAGATTGCAATGGGTCTGGCTCCATAGAGAGCCGGCTAGTGATCAGAACTTCCTCCACAGCATGGGTCGAATTCTGAACAATTTTTCGACTGAAAATTGAAAACATTGTTCACTCTGTAATCCGATGGTGCCACCTATGAAAATGTTGTTGTTGTTTTTCATGAATTTTCCAGCATGCCCAATAAACGAAATGGGGAGGAACCACAAAAATCTGCCAGTGCCATTGCCCTTCTAACAGAACGAAAATCGGCCGATAATTCTTAGATCTGATTTTCGAATTAAAAATTGTTCAGAAATTGACCCATGTATGGCCGGCCTTTGTCAGCTTGGGCCATGTGTTCATGTGGTTTGGGCTGCCAGGTAGCCCATATATGTGGAAATATGGAAATAGCCCCTCCTGTAAAAGAAAAATGTTATGGGTTGATTATTTTGGTTTAAATTTTTTTTTTTAGTTATTTATACATTTTAAAACAATCTTTACTTTTTTATATAACCTATATGAAAAAAATTTTGCTTTACAAATAAACATTTAAAATATATGTAAACGGAACTTTTCGTGTTCCTCACGTACCATGTACTTGTATGAAAAAGTGCACTGTTCTCTTTGTGTTGCTTCCTTTGTGTGAAATCCCTGTGTTCCTGCCAGTCCCTCTTCTTCCAATTAAAAACTGACACACTAGGCATGAGAGCACATCATGGTCAGTTCTAAAGAAAAGCTAAAGTTCTACATAAAAAAAAAAGTTCTAAAGCAAAAGCTGTGCTGGAGACTCAGCCTGCTCTCCTCTAATGATCAGATTGGAGCTGACATGCCCCCCCCCCCTTACTGCACAACCATTCACTGGGAAGATCAGTGTCCTGCTGTTTCTCTTCCCCAGCTCCTATGCAGCTGAGAAAAGACAGAATATGATTACTACCTTAGAGGCTTTCTCTCGCTAATTGAAATTCTGTATAGAGCTATACAGAGCAAGGCACAGGCAGTAGTGTTACTCCTGAAATTAATGCAACCATGTGTAAGTGGAGCTTCAGCTGTCCAGCTCTGCAAATAACAGAACATTGTAAGCAAAGCAGTTAAGATTAGTCTGGTAAACATGTTGAAGCTAGTCTAAAGATTCTTCTGCTGTTTGAAATAGAAAACGTTTAGTATTTACTAAAACTGGTGCACCCAGAATCTGGTGCAGCTGTGCATAGTAACCAATCAGTATCTAATTTCAGCTTGTTCAATTAAGCTTTGACAATAAAACCTGGAAGCTGATTGGTTGCACCATTTTCTGGGCGCACTGGTTTTAGTAAATCCCCCTCTTAATATTCATATATAATATTTCCTATACATGATTAACAAATGAAGGAAAAAGGTATCTTTTAGAAGTCATGTGCATAATAAATTACATTCCTAGATTGTAAGCTCGAAAGAGCAGGGCCCTTGAACCCCTCGTGTAGTGTATTGTTACTGTCTTGTCTCATGTTCTATCCCCCTTGCTACTGTACAGCGCTGAGCATACCCTTTGGTGCTATATAAATACTGTATAATAATAATAATATGCACACAATATAAATCCCCTTTAGTGGATAAGGTAATCATTTACAGTCCTGCCAATCAAAAAATTCCATCCCCCAAAGTCCTTTGTTTTCTTGGAGGGCATTTTTTTGCACATGGAGCCTACAGCATAGAGAAAAAAACAAAAAAACAAAGCAGCAGTATCAAAAAGAGATTTAATTCCTAAATTAAGAAAAAAATAAATTATATTAATTTTTAAGATTAGATTAAATATAGGCCAATTTGAAGAAATGTTTATACTATTCAAAAAATGTCAAAATATTTTTTTTTTATCTTTTAATTATATATGATGTAATACCTAGTTGTACATATGTTTGTGTAAGATTAAATATTTTTTTAAAAATCTGTTTGAATCTTGTGTTGATTTAACAAATTAAGGATTACAAAAAAAAAAAAAAAAATCACATGCATATTTATGTCAGACTACGCCTTAAGTGCTCCACGTATTAAGACAAGCTTTCAAAAGCTATTTAACAAAAGCAGATCATGATTGATATGAGAGCTGACAGTCCTGTGATTTCTCATATTCATGCAGATTTGTCTTGGAGTTCCTGTAGGTCTTTCAGTATGTTCGTACCAGCAAAGCGCAAGACTTAGCACTGAGCGCCAGCCTCCAGTAAATACAAATGTAAAAAAAAATGCTTTGTTTTTTTTTTTATTCTGGACTTATAGATCAGTTTAAAGCCTGTGATCATAAATTGGTCAATCACTGGCTAGACTCAAAGCTAGCAGCTTCTAGTAATATCAGTTCCCCAGAGGGGCTGAAATTTAGATAGCGCAAAGTGCAACTACGCTTTTGTGAAAACACTTGCAAGGCTCATTTATCACAGGGAGCCGTAGAGTCAATATATATAAAAGTGAGCTTCAAGAAATTTCAACTTAAAAAAAAAAAAAGAAGCTAGCTTTGATGGCAACAGAAGGAAAAAAAAAACAAAGTGAATTATCACATGTAATTAAGAAGTGGATGCTTTTAAACTGTAGAGAGCAGTAGCAGTCTTTAAAAGCTTCTTTAGCGAGTTCCTCTGAAGACTGGAGCCTTACGGAGGAGGATGTTCGGAGCTGAGAGCTCACAAATGTATGCAGTACTGATTCCACCAGATGTAATTGGCTCTTTCACTCGAAATTTAACCCCTTCATGCTCATATGCATTTGATAAAATAACACTTTTTCTGGACATTTTAAGAGCACCTTTTATAAAAATATTAAAGTTGATTTACCAAAGGCAAATAGGCTGTTCACTCTGAAAAGACATTGCCCTTTGCAGGAGAATTTTCCCACAGGGCGTAGTGAATAAGGTGACGCTCTATTGGGTTCCATCATCCCAACCAGGGGCGGACTGACCATTTGGAAACTCGGGCACTGCCCGAGGGCCCGGGGGCAGTAGGGGGCCCCATGAGATGCCCCTGGTACCTTTTTAATAGGATTTTTTGAGTTTGGGCCATGATCCTCTTTTGCCCGGGGGCCCCATGAGTTGTGAGTCCGCCCCTGATCCCAACCTATACAAGGAAAGATGCTATTTTTTTTCTATTTTATTTTTCTTTACACATGATTGGGTATTCTTTGCAAAGTGAAATTTCACACTCACACAGCTCTGGGACAAAGTACAAATTCTCTTGCAAAGTGAACAGCCTGTTTGCCTTTAGTAAATCATTATTTTTATTTATTACAGGTACTTATATAGCACCGTCAATTTGCGCAGCCATTTACATATATATTTTACATTCACATCAGTCCCTAACCCTCAAGGGGTGTACAATCTAAGGTCCCTAACTTACATTCATATATACACATACTAGGGACAATTTAGACAGGAGCCAATTCACCTACCAGCATGTCTTTGGAGTGTGGGAGAAAACTGGAGTACCTGGAGGAAACCCGCACAGGGAGAACATGCAAACTCCAGGAAGGTGGTGCTGTGGTTGGGATTTGAACCAACGACCCTAGTACTGCCAGGTGGAAGTGCTAACCGCTGTGCTAAATCATCCCCAGTGTGTTACTTGAGGGTATATGTGATTGTCTGATGTGTGATAGCACTGGACTGATAGAAGTGAAAGTTTGCTCTGATGGATCTACAGTGAGTAAAGTGATTTTTCTTTCAAAGAATCAGATCCAGTACAATAGGTGGACCCTGTACAGGTCCTAGGCTGCTACCTCTCTGACAGTAAATTCTTGGATGTGTTCTGAGGAGCGTCTGATACAAAAGTTCATCCCACTTGAAGAACTTTTTGAAATATTTCTTGGTTAAGAGCATCACATACAGCCAATGCGTTTCGGGGGGAAAACGCTTCCCCCTTCTTCAGGGTTTGAGCAATCACTGTTAATAAAATCACAACAGAATTTTTCACACAGTGAAATTTCACTGCACTCATTAAGCTCTATTGCATATTCCCTTACGAAGTGCAACCATTCCTGCAAAGTGAACAGCCTGTTTGCCCTTAGTAAATCAACCCCATTGAATATTTTTGAATCTGGCTTCTCTTCCTAGTGGGTCAATGGGGTTGATTAAAGTGTTACTAAACCCACAACAGTAAAATCAGTCTGTATATGCAGTAAAGCATGCTTGTTATACTCACTGTGGAACCTAAGGGGTTAATCCTCTGTATTGTGTAAAAAGGCTGTTTGATCCTGACTTCTCTGCCCCTCCTCTTGTTCAAATGTTCACATCTTATCTCCTGATAAAAGAGACT